ATAAATAAATAAATAAATAACGCTTACAGCCTCGTTTTACCAACATAATACAATTAAATTAGCCGATCACTCATCCAAGTGATAACTAAGCAACAGAGTGACAACGACCGCCGCGCACGTAACATAAAGCAGTTCGTCACCTCTCTGTTTGCTCTCTGGCTTCTCTTTCTGTGCCTTCTCCTTGAAGTTTTCCACGACCTGCGGACTGTCGTTGTACTTGTCTCGGTCTCCTTCCTTCGCGGCGCGCTCCTGGTTCACTCGGTTCTCCATCGTGTACTTGCTCTCGTCGCCCGCTTTCTCCCTCTCCGCTGCGTTCTGCCGCCGCTTCCCCCGACCCTTCCGCGCAGGTGGCTCGGCGGCCGCGGGCACGACGGGAGGTGAGACGGACGCATCGTGCGCACTGCCGCTGCCGCCGCCGCCGCCGCCGTTCTTTCCATCCTTGTGACCTTTGTCGCCCTTGAGCGAGCGCAGAAGGCTGTTGACGGTCGACATGCCGCCATTCTGCTGACACTTGCCATCTTTGCCGTCAGCTTTCGAGCTGGAGGAAGAGAAGACGATGCGACAATGAGGATGGAAAATTTAATGATTGAAAATCCAACATTTGCTAGCCTTGATCCGCCTTGATTTAAAACGTTTAACTCATTAAACCTGAGCTCAATAAACGCTATCTTGAAACTTCAGCTACAACCGTGCGTGTTTTCATTCACCCCTAATAATATATATGTATTTATAAATATTTAAATCCACACGCACGCACGCACGCACACACACACACATATATAAATACACGTATACTAGGATGTACCTCGTTTTAGATTCTAATGATTTAGTGCCTATCGCTCGGAGGTCTAACACTTTGTTAGGGTCGTATGATTTGCCATTGCTTGCCGCGTGTAGTGCTGCTGCAGTGAGGTATTGGTGCTTCCCTCGCTTGTGTTCAGTCCATAACCTGTGCAAAGGAATACAGGTTACTTTCTAGTAGGGCTCAGGGGAGAGATAGTGATCCGCTAGATGGCGAATTATTAGTGTGTTGTGGATATAGAAATCAGTTAACCCTAACCCTAATTCTAAAATAAAACAAAATTAGTCAAAAATAATAAAAATAAATAAGAGACAAAATTAGCCAATCAGAGCCGTCCCCTAGCAGATCACTATCTCTCCCCTGTGCAAAATGTGTTACTTTCTGGTTTGTGGGGGCAGGCTACGAGAGAAAAATAATTAAATAAATTTAAATTCGTACTTCATCAGACCTAATGGTTAATTTCTGGTTTGTGGGGGCAGGCTATGAGAGAAAAATAATTAAATAAATTTAAATTAGTACTTCATCAGACCTAATGGTTAATTTCTGGTTCGTGGGGGGCAGGCTACGAGAGAAAAATAATTAAATAAATTAAAACATCGTACTTTATCTGAGATCTACAACACGAGCATCTATGTACCCACTGCAACTATATGTCTCTGTTCTTTCAAATAGAAAATCCTAACACATTTGCCTGTATAACAAACAGTATTAAGCTGGGTTTACACTACAGAAAGTTGATAGTGTAAACCTAGCTTTACTCAGTTTGCAACGTCTAAACCACGAGCATACACACCCAACAAAGAACATGCACAGGCATTTGTCT